CAGCGGGGTCGCAGCTGCTTCTGGAAGGCACCGAGATGTACCTTTTTCGCGCAATGATGGTCAAAATCAAGGTTTTGTAACGCGAGCTGTGCCACAGTGAAATGGCACTAGCCAAAGGCAAAACACGACGCTCTGCGGCTGGTGAGGTGGTGCACCCCTCACACTGACACATTCCCCTCATCCCCTTGCCCTTGGCCCTGAGCACATCTACCTGCGAGCTAGTCTCTCCGCATTCTCTCCCCTAGTCATCCGCCCACGGCAGTGTCAGCAGTGTTTTAAAATGCTTTTCTTCGAGAGAGCTTTTTTTGTAACATTCTTTTCTTCCGGGGTGGGGTGGGGTGGGGTGGCGGATGGGTGTCGGACGGAGGGGAATTCGGACGCCGGCTCTTGTGGCGAGAACGATGGCTTCTAAGGAAGCCGTCGTCTGCGCCTTGTCCGGTGTGTGAATCGTGCGGGGTTGTGTTTTTGTGTGAATCGTGCGTGTGCGAGAACCAAGCTCGGGAAATTCTTTTCTTCGCACAGTGCCAGTGCGCGCCAATCCCGTGCCCAGTGTTACACCAATCCTCGCTACCCAACGCGGCCAAAGGATATCCACCTCGAGAACCTCGAGAGTGCCCAGTGTCGGTGTCGTGGGTGTGAGTGACGGGCTGCAGATGCAGCGGCTGTCTATCGTTCTCCACAACGCTGTCTGTGCCTGTGTGTGTGGCGGAGCTGTCAGGACCCCACCCTCCCCCCCCACCTTTGCGGGGCTGTCAGGAGAGGGGGCGGGAGAATTCGTTTCCGGCGATGTCCCACCTCCAGCGCGGCCTCGCAAAGGCGCTTCATATCTCGCCATATCTCCCCATATCTCCCCAGATCTCCCCAGATCTCGTGTGCTCTGCGGCGAGACTCACCTGGCGTCTTCGCAACGTGGGCTCACGCTAGTCTCACAATTGTTGATGAGCTTACGCTGCGCGACCAGACGAATCCATCAATGTTCTAACTAGTTTTGACAGGATGTCCTGCAGCAGTGCCTCGTAAGGTTCTGCTGTTGCGCAGGGGCTCAGGAGGGTCGAGGGTACCTTTCCCCCCTTTGCATCAACATAAGCTGGGGTTGATTGTCCGCAATCTCTTGCGACACTAACGGCAGCAGCCCAAAGTGACACCATCGTCGTTTGGACAGCAGTTGCCGGCCAATCCCAATGCAACACAGTCCGGATTCGCGGAGCAGGCAGATGGGAGGGGTGCGGGTGTCGTGGGTGTGGGTGTGGCTGGGATGTTCCAACTGAGGACCTCTGCTTTGATGGTCTGCCTCTGGGAGATCATGTCCAGCGAAAGCTGCCACCACTGGTCGCGTACGACTGACCCGGTGACCCACGTTTTGTGTCTCTCTACGGCTTT